GAAGATGTCCACTCCCTGCCCAGACTGACCTGCGCTGAAGGGAGGGCAGGCTGGTGGGCCCCAAAGAGCCACCTCTGTAGCCAGCCTCATTTGGGGTACAGGCAGTCCCCCAGCAGCTGGCTAAGGCCTACCCACCCTACGCTGCCTTGCCCAGAAGCACAGGGTTCTGGCTGCAGAATCTTGAACCAGGTATAATCTTGGTCAGGTGTAGGGGGTCGGAGGGGGGTCTCAGCCCACCCCCATGTCTGTGTCCACAGTGCTCAGAGTTGAGCTCCAGGACAGGAAGGGAAGGGACCTTCCCCTAGAATACAAGGCGGGTGCCCCTGCGCTGGTAAGGCTCCGCCAGACCTCTGTCCTGGGCACCAGGTGCCTCGAGGGCTCTGTAAACTGGCCGGACCCACCTGGACACCTCGGCTCCTTTCTTCTCCGTAGCAGTGGCACCGTTCTCCTGGACCGGCCTCCGGCCCTCTACCCCTCCCCACCCTGCCTTCTCCCTTTGCCCCACATCCAGACTCCCCCTTGGGAGCCATCTGAGCCTCACAGCGGCCTGTCCAGAGAGGCGGGTCCAGCAGACGCGATGAGGGAACGAACTGTGGAACTGAGATCACCTGAGTGGAAATTGACCTTATTTCGTCAAACATTTGTGGCGCCTACAGCTCACGCTGAGAGCTCATTTTCACTGGACACTGCGTGAAACACCAGAGCGCAAGTGGAAGTGACCAAGATTTTCCCGCCATCGGCGGCAGCGAGCGACACCTGTGGACTCACACATGTGCCTGGGGGCGGCCCCTGGGGTGGGCTGTGGGCTGCGTGAGGGGCGCCGAGGCCCGAGGCCCTTGTCCAGGGGCCAGCAGGGTACAGGGAGCAGACGCAGGATGGAGGGCCGGGCAGCGGAGTGCAGTGGACCAGTGAAGAGACCCAAGAGGAGCCAGGGCGCCCGAGAGCAAGGATTTGCCTGGGCCCCGCCTGCCCTGCGCCCTCACGACAAACTGTAAAAAGCCTAAAAAAGCCAGCAAGGGCTCCAGTCTGCCCGGATAGTGGAAAACCTGCTTCGTGCCTGCTGGTGCAACAAGCACTTTATTTATTATCATTCACGCCGCTCGGCCATCCCGCCTTGGGAGGCCGGAAGGAGTCTGCTACCTGGATGACCCCAGCGCACGTAATGAGGACAGCTACCTGATACTACAGGCGTAGGCCGGCACCTGAGAAACATGGGGCCCCCGATGTCCTCATGGGGGAGCACAGGCTGGTGCGATGCTCATCCAGAAGCCACCAAGCACCTGCTACCTCCATGCTGGGTGCTGCTTCACAACTCGGTATTGAGCAATGACACCCCCAAATGCCTCCTCTCCTGTAGCTGATGTGCTCGTGCGGGGGTGAAGGGAAAGAAGGGAGGCAAACATATTAGCAGGGTAATGGCCATGGAAGGCAGGACAGCCGGGGCAGGATGAAGGACGGTCCAGTGAGCTGGGCCGGGCGAGTTGGCAGTCTGCGACTTTGCGCAGGAGCAAATGGCGAAGTCTCGGTGGAGCTGTGCACTGCTGAGGGAGTGAGGCATGCGGCGACCTGTGACTCTCCGGACACAGACCCAGCGGCGACCTGTGACTCTCCGGACACAGACCCAGCGGCGACCTGTGACTCTCCGGACACAGACCCAGCAAGTGCTGAGGCCCTGTGCCGGAGCATGCTCGGCCGGCTAGAGAGCAGCTGAGAGGGCTTTGTGGCTGGACTGCAGCGAGGTGGGAGAGAGGGAGCAGGCAAGATCCACAGCCACCCTGGAGGCCGGCGGCTGGGGATGCCATGCGCTGGGCTGTAGTAACAGCTGGCATTTCCCGAGTGGGGCTCAGAAAGCCCGAGTGGCACTGAGTCCTGCGGACACCAGATCGGCTTAGCAGACCCCCTTAGAGTCTAACGGGGAGGGAGGCACAGAAGTCCCAGGGCATCTGCCAGGGTGCTACGACACCACGGAAAAGGGGCATCTAGGGCAGACCCTTGGGGCCAAGGAGGGGGGCACTGAGAGGGCCCCTCCGAACAGATGTGGGAGGGAGGCTGGGCTGGAGCAGGAGAGCGGGGCTGGGGGCACCCAGGAGCAAGGGGCCAAGGAGCAGGGCTGGAGAGGAGAGTGAGGACGGGGGATCTTGGGTTTATGGGGCCTCCAGATTGGGGGAGTGCGGGGAGTGGGTGGTTTATGGTTGGGGACAAGGAGTGAGTTCCAGTAAGCACCTGGGTCATTTACCCGCCCCCCTCCCCCAGGGCTGTGCTTCTAATCAGCTTAGGCAGCTCCAGCAGGAGATGACAGTGGCAAGGGTCCCCTTCCCTGTGCAGGGGTGGCTCTCATCCCTGTGCCAGGTTCAGTCCCTCCTCTCAGACAGACCTCAGGGCCCCGCCTGGGCTTGCCTGCAGGAGACACCATTAGCAGTAACCCCATGGCCAGAGCACTCCCTCTGGAGTGCCTCAGCCCCTTGGGCTGGGGCTGCAGTCAATCAGGGTGCGCAGATCTGGCTCTGGGAAGCGCTGCCCCTCCAGCAAAGGGCCTTGCAGGTCAGGTGGCCAGTGGGTGACTAAGTTGGGACTCAGCTCTTGGGTGAGAGCCCCAGGTAACACTGCGGCAGCTGCGGGAACTGCCTGGGGGGGGGTGCGGGGTGGAGGCCAGGTGACAAGGAGACTGGGAGTGTGGGCAGAAAGGGAGCAGAGCAGGGGTCTGAGCAGAAGGGGAGGGGGCGGGGGCTCCAGAAAGACCTGGCAGTACCTACCAGAAGGGCTGGAGAAACAGAAGCTGCATCTTCTCACGCAAGGTGGGGAGGGACCTACTGCTCCCATTTCACAGGATGGAAAAAAGAGGCAAGTGGAGGTGGCCAGGGGGTGCCCCAGGGGCGCATCGTAACTTGGGGCTCCGGGGCCCTATTAGGAGTCTGGTGGGGCCGACAGGATGCCAGCGCCTTTTCCCTCTCTGGTGTGGATGATGAAATAGTGATGAGCAGGGAGTCGGGGATGGAGGCAGAAGGCAGGGCTGGGGCCAAAGAGGGGGAGCCCAGGGGAACGGGCCACACCACCGGCTCCAGTTACAGCCGGGCACCCGCTGGGCGTGTCAGGCGCCCCAGCGCCGCCTCCGCCTCCCACAGCTGCTCGGACCCATCCACTGGGCCGCACTGTAGCGTGAGGGAGGAGGCTCCCTGGTCCCTGGGGTGACTGCACGGGGAGGCGGGAGCTGGGCACCACCTCTCCTCCCTGCTGGCAAATCCGCAGAGGCCTCCGCAGCAGCCACCCACCTTCCCTGGCCCCCTCCTCACCCCGCCTCCCCTCTGCGCCTGATGGTACGCTCCTGTCTGCCGGCTGCAGTGGATGTTGCTAGAACCCACGGGGAGGAAGGAAGAGACACAGGCAGGCTGCGGTCATCCAAGCGGCTGCCCCTGCCGCAGGGAGCCCTTCCCAGAGCGAGGACACCATGACCCAGGGAAAGGTACCTGCATCTCCCCCTGCACCGCCCTCCATCCTGCCCCCTGCCCCTGCCCCTGCCCCCGTCACCCTGAGCAAGCTCTCTGGACCACTGCGAGCATCCTCCCTTGGGTCCTATGCAAAGGTCCCCTTGGCCCTCGCTGAAGTCAAAGGACCGAAAGGCACTGCAAGGAGTGGGCTGCGGAGGCCCCTGCCTGCCCACCAGGCTCCCCTCTCCCCCTCCCCCACCCCCATGCTTTGCATCACAAGATCCTTCTCTGGTTCCCAGGGCGAGCAGGAGGCTGCCTGGTGCCTCCGGGGTCCAGGCTGTGGGTGTGCAGGGTGAGCCCCAGGGGCAGTGCCCACGGGGCACCTTGCCAGGGCCAGCCCCAGCCCCAACACTTCTGCTCACCTTATGCTGCACAGAAACACCCGCGCCTGCTCCCTGCCATTATTTTACCTCCGGGTATACTCCCTGAGGCGGGGGTCACTATGGCAACCCTGCCCTGGGAAGCTCTGATTTTTGTTTTTGTTTTGACGGAGGCTGGCGCTGGAATGGACTGGATAGGACGTCTTTTTTTAATTCTTCCAGTCTTAGGCCTGAATGAAGGGGAGGGGCTGGAGCAGACCTGGCCGGCCTGGCAGGGTTATGTAACATCAACAGCCTGTGGAATTATACAACCACCAGGACCCTGGGCGAAGGGGAGGGTCCCCTGGCCCTCTTTGGGGGTGTTAAGGATTGGGCAGAGAAAACAAGCGAGATTTCCTCTACACTCCCCCTCTTTTCTCTGAGCTAACCTCACAGCCAATGGCATCCTTCCCTGGGCTGTCAGACCCTTCTCTCCCTGTTTTTAAGCCTTAAGTGATGTCATTGGGTGATACCACCTCCCGCCATTGGGCAGCCCTCGCTGGGAATGCCGGATGTGTGTAATGGGGTGGCAGGGCCCAGAGGCTCTGGGGTGCTGCGTGGCACTGTGGGGGCTGGTGAGGACCAGTTTTGCATGGGCTGCAGTCAGAGGTGATGATGGTCCTTGTCCTGGGCACAAGCCCTGGGTCTGGCTCGGAGCACGTTGGCTCCAGCGGACCGAAATGGGTTTTCCTGGGCATGGCTCTTCTGGTCGGGGTGATGAAGGATGTTGGGGAGCGGGAGGGAAGCAGACAAGCCAGGCCCCATTTCCACCCCGGGCCTGGTCCTGAGGTCCTTCCAAGGAAGCAAGTGTGTTGTGGAGGAGGGCAGCAGTGGTGGGCAGTGCTCACGGTGGTGGAAATGGGACCCACTCTGCAGCCCTCGCCCTCCGCTGCCGCTGCCCACCTCTGCCAGCCACTTTGCGAATGCTGCTGCTTGTCCTGGGGTGAGTGGTTGCTCCTGCCCCTGGTGCCCCTCGCCCGCCCCCAGCTTGCTCACAGGCTCTCTGGTGGTGGAGGCCCCTCCAGTTCCAGTCCTTGGGGCTGATGGAAGCAGGGGTCCTCCAGCCGCCCCCCCCCCCCCCCCCCCCCCCCCCCCGCCCCCCCCCCCGCTGGCCGCCAAGCCAGCTCCCATCTCCCAGTGGACCTCCAGGTTGACCCTGTTCTTCTGAGAGCCGGAACCCCCATTTGCTGAGGTCCAGTCCTGTAGTTGATGTTTCATTTTTCCTACCACCCCTTTCCCCAACCTTCCCTCCCCGGGAGGTAGCATGCAGCCCCCCCACACCTCCCCAAACACACACAGCTCCGAGGCCTCTCACGCTACCCACTGCCTTTGGCCTGCACGTGTCTCCTGGGCCAGGCTTTTCTGAGCATCTGTGGCCTTGAGTTTTCCATCTGCCTCACTTTCCTCTGGGCCCCAGGTTTTCATCACCCATCAAAGCAAGGGGCCAAACTGAATGCCTTGCAGTCCCCTCAAGCAGTGATCATCTGTGATTCTGTCCTTGTTTGGGGGAGAACCTAGACCCCAAAAGGATGAGGCCAGAACAGGAACCTTGGCCCTTCCCGTCCTTGTAACCCCCACTCCCCGGCAGCCCTCCCCTGCTCCCGCTCTCTGTTTCCCTGCCCACGGCCACCCCTTCGCCTGTCTCCAGCCAGTGGCAGCTTCCTGGCCGGTGACCCTGGGCCAGTCTCTACCGCTCTGATCCTCAGTTCTCTTGCTATAAAACTGGGGTTGAAATACACTTGTCTTGCCGGCTAGCAGGGAGATTGGGGGAGAGAATCTTTCGTTTATTAATATTTTTTGAGAACTGACTTGCTGCCAGGCTTTTCCAACACCCCAGGAAAACAGTGGTGCCGTCAGGGGCCGCCCCTGGCTGGGAGACCGTGACCTTCCTCACCGCTTTTCTTTTTTAAAGATTTTAAAATTTATTTATGCATGCAGAACTGGGGTACAGGCGGTAGAGGGAGGGGTGAGAGGCCTCACCAGAGACAGAGTGGGCAGCAGAACAGGCAGATGGATGAAGTTCACTGCTGAAGGGAGCAGCGGGGAGACAGGAGAGGTCTGCTGGCCCTGTGGGTCAGCTCCGGACCAGGCCGCTGCTGCTGCTTCACCTGTTGTGCCACCAGGGAGGGCCCCCTTCCTCACTTCCTATCCCAGCGTGTGCCCCTGGCTAGAGAACTCAGTTTTCACATCTTTAAAATAAGGAGAGACCCTCCCTGGGGGTGCACGGGGTTGGGACGCAGCACTGCAAGCTGGCCACTGCTTCAGTGCAAGTTCGATCCCAGCCCCGGAGGATCCTGACCCGCCCGCTGCTCCCCTCAGCAGTGTACTTCGTCAATCTGCCTGTTCTGCTCCCCTCTCTGTCTCTGGGGAATCCTCTCACTGCCCCCCTGCACCTCTGTCCTGTACCCCAGTTCTGTATGCATAAATAAATCTTTAAAATAAAATACTCTTTTTTAATCCTAATTTCATTGGCGTAAAATTGAGTAGAAATCGTACGTGTTGCGCAACGTAATAGTTTAATATATCACTTATTGCGAAATGATCAGCACTTGCAAACCAGTTAACAGTGTGTTTGTGGGGGGGGCAGCGGGGAGGCAAGAACTCTTGAGACCCACCGTCTCAGCAAACTTCAAGCAGACAACGTGGCAGGGTTAACTCTAGTCACCATGCTGTGCGCTAGAAGATCTCTCGAACTTGTCCACCTTGCATAACTGAAACTTGTACCCTTTGATCACTATCTCCCTTCCCCAGCCTTTGGTAACCGCCTGCGCTTTGGCGAGTTCTATTATTTTCGTTTCCACACATACGTGAGATCACGCAAGACTTGTCTTCTTGTCTTTGGCTTCTTTCACTACATATCATGACCTTTAGGCTTCTTTCTTTTTTTCTTTCTTTCTTTTTTAAAGGCTCAGTGATATTCCTGGGCCTCCCTGGTGACCTAGGGGTTGAGCCTAGCACTGTTACTTGCTGTGGCCTGGACCGTAGGGACCCCCCGCCAGGCACAGCAGACCCCTCCTGCCTCCCCGCTGCTCCCCTCAGCAGTGTTCTTCATCAGTCGGCCTGTTCTGCTCCCCACGCTGTCTCTGGCGAACACTCTTACTCCCTGCCCTTCTGGCCTGTATGCCAGTTCTACACAAAATATAAAATTTTTTTTAAAGTTGCATAATATTCCTATATACAGGATAGAATAAACATACATATGCACATGTATGCATGCCACATAAAATATGTAAATGTGCCTTGTACATATACCTGCAAGTATAATGTGTATCATACATATATGTGCCTATGGTGGCATCAACTATGTAAAACTATATTTTATGTGCTACATCTGTGAAATAGGGAGTTTCTTGGGTGACGCCAGTCCTTCCTAGTACAGGTAAGCCGTGGGAATTCCAGGAATGAGGGGCTTGGAGGAGGTTTGGGAGACATCCTGTCGCTGCTGACTGTCTCTGCCTCTGCTCCACAGCTCTCCGTGGCTAACAAGGCCCCTGGGACCGAGGGGCAGCAGCAGGCAGCCGGTGAGAAGAAGGAGGCTCCAGCGGTGCCCTCGGCCCCCCCCTCCTATGAGGAGGCCACCTCTGGGGAAGGGCTGAAGGCGGGGCCCTTCCCCCCAGCCCCATCAGCTGTGCCTCTCCACCCCAGCTGGGCCTACGTGGACCCTAGTAAGTCTCTCCGCGCCTGGAAGTTGGAGCATGGGGACAATGTGGGCCCAGAAGGGTCTCCTGGGTAGAAGTTGCCCAGAAGTAGATGCGTTGTGAGGTTGTATGAGGCTCTGTGGCCAAAGGCTTGGGAGCTGGAGGACCGTTCTGGGGGTCGGTTGAAGACGCCTCCGTGGAAAGGGACAGATACGTTCAGATACTGGATGGAGGGGTGGGGGTTTCAAGTCACTGAGTTAGGAAGAACAGAAGAGAAAATATGTGGAGAGAAACCAGGGGCTAGTCTAGAAAAGCTCTCCTAGGAGGAAGGAGAGCAGACAAAGACGGGAGGCTTCAGGTGGGCCCGGGCAAGGCCCACAGCTGGCCGCGGCTCACAGGGCCGGTCCCTGCGCTCGGAAGGGGCAGTGCGTTTCCTGGCTGCCCATTCTGCAGCCTCCGGGGACACACCCTGCTGGAGACCCCGGTGTTCTTAGGGCTCAGGGACCCGAGGACTTCCCCCGTCACTCTCCTTACCTCTTCCCTTCCCTGGGCCTTTGCTGGGGGCAGGAGCAAAGACCCGGGGGGCGGGCGTGTGGACCCTGGCTGGCGCCCCTCACGGCCAGGCACACCTCGAAGCAGGCTTCTTGCAGGCCAAGTCGCGTGGGCGGGAGCTGAGCAGCCCGAGGGAGCTTTGCCTCGAGCGGAGAACACGTGTCCACAAGCTGAAGACAGAGCCGCTCCTCAGGCCCTCCTTGGCCCTTTGGGCCCCCTCACTGGTCGCCAGCCCCTCTCCCTCACCTTACCCAGCCCCTCCCACGCCACCCCCAGCAGAATTCTAGAAGGGCTCACCGGGACAATGCCTCAGGCAGAACTTCTGCTCACGAAGAGGCTGCCATGGGCCGGGCATCTCGCTACAAACCCTCTCAGTTCAGAGCCAACTGGACTTACCGTCCTGTGACCTACGGGGGCGTCCATAAAGGTCTGGTTTTCCCAGGGACGCTTCCTGAAGGCCACACGCACGCACGGGGAGCTTTCTCTCTCCTCTCCTCCCCTCTGTAGCCATTTGTCAGGAAGGGGATGCGGGGTAGAGACAGATCAGGAATGGGGAGTGAGGTCCCATTTGCCCTCCCGTTCACTGTGTTCCTTGTTTCTCAGCTGGCCGGGACTGGCTGCCTAAGGAATGTTTTCCTAAGAAGTGTTGGGGCAGGCAGGCAGCCCGTTTCAGCCAACATGGCACAGACAGATGTCCCCGAAGGGTCAGGCAGTGTCCCATACTGCGCTTGATTGTGGGGATGCGCACGGGCGAGGCTGCCCGCACAGGCTGCTCGTGTAGATGGGGAGGTGGCGATGGCCACGCAGCGGCCACGCAGCGGCCACGCAGCGGGGCAGAGACTGGGCCGAGGCTGGAGAGACCCAGGCGGCTCCCCTGCCTGCCTGGCAGCCTGGGAAGTGCTTGGAGGGAGGGGTGTACGGCTGAGCCCTGAAGTCAGCTGGTGAAAAGGGGAGTGTGGCTGAAAGAACATGGGGCAGAGGAAGAGGCCTGAGCGAGCGGCTGGTAAAAATGCGGTCAGGCTGGAGAGAAGCAGGAGGGGGTTTGCAGAGCAGCTGGAAGGCTCTGCTCTCTGGAGGCTTTGTGGGAAGGAGAACTCGAGTGCAAAGCAGCGGGGACCCCTCTAAGAGCAGAGCAGGGTGGCGTCACCCACCTTTAAAGACCAACATGGAGGCCACGGCTGTGGGAGCCACAGGCATCAGGGAGAAGTGGTGTGCGCTGGGGAGAGGGACAGTGGGTTCATTTGAGCACCCGGCAATGGCTCAAATAAGGGGTGCAAAGCCGAGGGTGGCACAGGCCTCACATCTGGCCTCATGGGAACCCCCAAGCCATGTCACAGACCAGAAGAGACTCGCAAGTGTGGTGACTGGCGCCAGGCCATCCCGCCGTTCAGGCTGGGGGTGGGGGCTCGCGCGGGGGTCTGTTTCACTGCAGCACATGCTCTTCTGAAAGCCTGCATGCTGGGGCCTGGCCCCAGAACTTTCTATCTCTACCCACCCCACTTCTTGCTCTGGGCTTTATTTCGCCCCTCGCCCTCCCCTAGCCTGATTTCCAGCTGGTGCACCAGCTCGTCTGTCACATCCATGCAATCCCCAGCTCCCACCCCAGGGGCCTAGGAGGAAGCTGAGGTCAGGACCTTCGACCCTGGATGTGTTTGTGAGTGGCCTTGGGAAAGTGGTGTCCCTCTAAGGAGCCAAGGTCCCGGAGGCAGGGTGGGGGGCACAAGGAGACTCACAGTTACATGGCAGGTCAGCCCCCGGGGAATCCCAGCCTGAGTGAAGGGTAGGGGACGGGAGAGGACAGTCCACTCTTGGGACTCGGAAAGGGGAAAACCAGAAGCAGCGGGATAGAGAGTGGGGCATGGTGGGAGGTTTGAGAGGGGCTGGAGAGAGAAGCTGCAGCCAGTCCAGAGAGCTGGTTTGGCACAAATGAGCTCTGAGCAGCCTCTGGGGACAGCCCAGGCGTGGGAGTCCTCAGGGCTGCCCCTTGTCCCCCAGGCAGCAGCTCCAGCTATGGGCACGGGTTCCCTGGAGATCACGAGCTCTTCACCACCTACAGCTGGGATGACCAGAACGTTCGCAGAGTCTTCATCAGAAAGGTGACCGCCTCCCCCAATTCTCTAGGAAGTGGGGGGGGGGGGTGCGGGGTGGTGGGGGGGTGCGGGGGTGCTCCCTGGAGGAGCTTCTGACCCAACCCGCTGAGGCATCCAATTGCTAGAGAGTCGGCCTGGTCCGCAGAGGGGTGCTTCCTGGTCACCCGCCTCCAGCACACCTAATACCTCTCTGGTACCCTGGGACACACTTTCCTGTGGGCGTGGGCTCCCCTTTCACCATGTCTGGGGTCCATCCCAACAACCCCTAAGGGCCTGGAGGGTAGATTGACTCCCCAGGGTGCTGGGTCTTCCTGAGACTTGCTCAGACCTGGGCCTCCCTGGCTTTAAGCAGGGCCCCCAAGCTGAACAGAACCCCTCCTCTCACAGGTCTATACCATCCTACTGATCCAGCTGCTGGTGACCTTCAGTGTTGTGGCTCTCTTTACCTTCTGGTGAGTGTGCACTGTGCCCGGCACCTTCCAGGGGTGGCCAAGGCCAAGCCTGGGTCTGGAGACCAGAATCAGGGTTCTCTTGGAACGTGTCCCTAAAGAGATTTATGGGGGGCTACAGATTTATGCTGGGGAGAACCTGAGTGAGGGTACCCCCCACCCTGTGAGTGGTGGACCAGGTGTCCTCTGGGCCTACAGGTGTCTGTGAAGCGCCATTCCTGTCTGGCCCACCAGCCCATGCCCTGGGACCTCCAAGCCCGGCCTGGAGCTGGGCCTGGGCTCCCTGAGCCACTGAGGTGCGTTCCCTCAGCACTCTAGAGCCCTGTGACTCCTGGGGCGTTAGGTCAGAAGCTGAATGAGAAATAGCGATGTTGGGTCAATTCTGATTCTCTCTCCCTTCTTTGCAGCGACCCCGTTAAAGACTATGTCCAGGCCAACCCAGGCTGGTACTGGGCGTCCTAGTGAGTATACCCCAGTTCCCAGGCCTCCCCCAGAGAATCCTCAGCAGCACGAGGTGGGAGATCCCTGTTGACAGAATCCAAGCAAAGGATGGCCAGAGGGGCCCTTCGGGGGTATTAAGGTGTAAGGGGGAGTGGGGAGGGAAACATAGGTGCTGGCACCTGCATGAAGTGAGGGGCTGGGGCGGGGCCATGACTGGAGAGACCCAGACCTCAACTCTGAAGGGAAGGGGGCTGGGGACACCTTGGCCCACACAAGTGATGTTGCGACTTCATTAGCCTTGTTGTTAATACTTAGAAATTATTAATCACAGAGTGCCTAATGAGGGCTGGGCATGGTTCTGTGTACCTGACATACAGTATTGCATTGATTCTCAAGTCAGCTGGTATAATTACCCCTGAAAACCAGAGAGGTTGAGTAATTTACCCAAGGTCACCTAGCTCGTCAATGGTGGAGCTGGGATTCAAACCCAGGGTTCAGGTTAAGGCTTGTGCTCTTAATCCCTCAGGGTGGCAGACTCTCTTCGTGAGCCCTGCGCTCCTCTTGTCCTGCACTCTGTAAGGAACATGGCAGAGAACTGGGAGGAGAGCTTTCATGGTGGTCATGATTCTCACCCTCCTAGCTGGGGAAGTGAGCAGCCATTCTGTAGAATTCCGGGCTGGGCGTCTTGAGCTCAGAGCAGAGCTCTTCCCAATGGAGGCTCCTTCGGCTCCCACTGTGACCCCAGTCCCCTGCTGGGCCTGCTGGGTAAAGTAGTGAGTGGGCACCCACAGCATGCGAAAGAGCAGTGTTCAGAGGTGGGGGAGCAGGGGTGGGACCCGCTACACCTGAACCCCCTGTTCTATTCAGGTGACACCTCAAAAGATGAGCCTGGGGGAGTGGGGACTGGAGTGACTTGCAAAAACATGGGCATGAGAGCACACGTGGATATTGCCAAGTTGGGGACTTCACCAGCAGAAGGCTGGAAGTTTCCACTGAGGGAAAACTCCACCAGAGAGCAGTGGGGCCTGATGGGACGTGGGCCCCGGAGGCCCAGCCAAGGACCTTGCACGAGACAGCTGTCCCAAGCCTGTTTCTGGACGGGAGTCAGGTGGGGATGTGGGCTCAGTGCAAAGCCTTCTCCACATCCCAGAGTCGCGGCCTTAACCCAGGGTGGCCAGTAGCTGCCGGCGAGACTCATCCTGCCTCCGGGACTCCTAGAGTGGAGGAGTGAAGAAGTGGCTCAGTCAAGGCGGGGTCCCAGGGAGGAGACATCCACACCCAAGCCCTTCTTAGGGCACAGGACAGAGTGCCTGTCTGCAGACCCTCTGGGGAGGCGTGTCTTGGGGAATTGGGAGGCACCGGTGGTAAAACTAATGAGGCCCCAGGGCTGCCACCCCGCCAGCCCACACGGCAGGTTGGCATGACTCCTGGCACGTCTGCCCGCCTGGCAGTCCCCAGAGCCCTGAGAGTGGCGTCCCCAGGCTCCTGGCCAGGCCTTCCATCGGGAGTCTTTGGGGTTCTGTGTCCTGAGCAGATGACGCCAGGGGACAGCTCGAGAGGGCCGGCTCGGAGCGTGGGGCCAGAGTGCACCCTGTGAGGGCGGCCGTGGGAATCCGACCTCTGCATGGTGACACGGAATTTCCCTCCTCCTCAGGCTCTTGGCACCAACAGGGGTGCTAGGAGGAGCCAGAGGATGGACTGTGCTTTCCATGGGGCCCCATAACACCTTCAAGGTGCTTGGGAATTCACCCCCAGAATGCCAGCCTATGGCCAGCACATCCTGTCCTGTCCACTGCACCCCTCTATTCTTCCTGCCCCCCAATCCTGCCTGAGTCCGAGTCTAGCGGGTCTTACCTCCTCCAACACTCTGTGCCCTTAACAGCAATAAGAATAGAACGGCTGCTTCTCTATGTGTGAGGCTCCATGCTAAGTGCTTTACAGATAGTTTTCATTTGATCCTTGCAACAACCCTACCAGGTGGATACTATTATTAACCCCATTTTATAGATGAGGAAATTGGGGCTCAGAGAGACGTTACTGCTTTGCATCAGCAGAGCAGGATGGAATCTCAGAATCAAAGTTCACACATCCCCCCCCCCCCCCCAGTGCTGTGCAGCCTCCCCGGGGCCTTGGACTGCCCTGGAGCAGGGCAAGTTGGGGAGGGGCCCCCGGCTTCCCTCAGAGCCTCCCTCTCCGGGCCTGACACTCTGTAAACAGACTGTGGCTCCAGTCCAGGCCCTGGGGCCCAGCTCTGACAGGCGAGTAGGTCTTTCTCACTTGTCCAGTGACTCACGCTCTACCCCCTTCCAGCTCACACACCCCCACCCTGCTTTCCCAAGGCTCCAGTCATCGCCCTCAGAGGCTCGTCCCTCCCCCCCCCACCAGGGCCACAGTGGCGGGACCACAGGCCTCCCTGCAGTGGGCAGAAGTCAGCCGGTGGGGTTGAGGTTGGGGAGAGGCTTGGGCAGGGAAGGAAAAGTGTGAGACCAGAGTGGGGGTGCAGGGGGAGCAGCCGAGCTTCTCAGGAAACTCGGTCAGCCGGGCTCCAGTGAGCGTAATGGCAACTCCCATCCCCAACTTCTCCCGCACCGCGCCAGGGCCGGCTAAACGCTGGACGCGTGCTCTCTGTTCAGTCCTCCGCAGCCCAGAGACGTGGTGCCCGTATCCCTGTTTGGCAAAGGAGGGGCCTGGAGCTCTGCAGCTAGGCAGAGCCACAGGTGCTGGCCACTCCGTCCAGCAACCAGCAGCCAGCCACTTGCCCAGGCCGGGAAGGTGGCTCAGAGACCAGGGGTGGGCCCCATCCCGCCCCACCCCTCCGGAGGTCTCCAGCCTGGCGGGAGCTGGGACCCACACAGAGGCTGCACACTGGCCGCGTGCTGTGACTGCCGTTCTTGTCACAGTGGTTGACCAGTGACTCAAGTGACACCAAAGTGAGCAGTTGCCAGGGTGTTTCTCAGCTGGGCAGGACGAGCCCACTCTCCTCCCGAGCAGGGTGCTCAGCAGCCTGGCCGGAGAACACCTGGGGCACGTGACGGCCGCCCCCACTCCGGGGGCGCTAAAGAAAGGAAGGCCAAAGATGGCGGGGCTCTGGTCCCCGGACCCACGAGGCTCGCTGCGTCCCCTGCAAGGCCCGTGCTCGGGGGGCTCACCTGGAAGTGGTGACATCACCCACCTGTCCCCAGGCCCCTGGGTCACCGCAGTGAAGACGTAACGAGCAGGTGGCTCCTCCTGCATGGGGGTCAGAGGAGCAGCCCCGGGGTGGGGGTGCAGACTGTGGTTGAGGTCTGCCTGTGGCTCACAGAGGAAACCCCTCGAGCCCAGGCCTCAGGTGGCCTGGACAGGAAGGCAGGGTGGACCACAAGGGGCATTGCCCAGTCTTCCCCAGGCGAGTGACATGATCATTTCTGCCAGAAGGAGGCAGGGCGAGAGGCAAGACAACCAGATGACCAGAGGTGGTCTGACGGAAGGTGACCACGGGGGGGCGGGGAAGGAGGACACACATGCCAGCTCGGAAGGTGACCACGGGGGGGGCGGGGAAGGAGGACACACATGCCAGCTGCCTGGGTAGGAGGACCGGGAGCTGGGTGTGGCCGGGCGAGGAGCAGGATGGTGCTGAGGCTCTGGCTGGGTGAGGGGGCTGGGCTGGGCTGGGGCCAGAATTTCCTCTGCAACAGAGGGTCGGGGAAGGGGTGAGTTTGGTTCTGACCTGTGGAGTGTTTCTGAGTGGCCAATGGGCGCTCGGCTATTCAGCTCTGGGGCTGAGAAGCAAAGCCCAGGTGCGCTGGCTGGGTGAGACGGTGCGGGGAGATGAACTGTGCAGGGCTGGGCACCAGGCGTAGCTAGAGACTCTGAAGGAGATTATGAAGGAGTGGCCGGGGAGGCAGGTGGAAACCCAAGAATGTGTCATTTGGAAATGGCAAGGGGAGCGATCAGATGTTGATAAGTCAGGCTAGATAAGGACCGCCAGTGTCAATGGGACTGTGGAGGTCACAGCCTCGAGGCAGCTCTCAGGACTTGGGGCTGGAGCCGGTTTGCTGAGTTGGGGATCAGTTGGGAGATGGAAAGGCACAATGAACAGACAACTTCTTCAAGAAGCTTGGCTTTGAGCCTGAACACAGAGGCAGTAGCTAGAGTTGAAGAAGATGTTGGTTCAAGATGGAAAGCGTGTGAGGGGGAGTGAGGAGGAGGAGACTGGAAGGTTTAAGTAACAGCGTGGTGGGGCACTTGAGGGTGGGGCCCACAGCTGGGGGCACTGCTCGGGCTGGGATGGGAGGAGGGACAGGGAGGGCGCACAGGTGAGGTTGGAGGTTGGAGGAGGCAGGCAGGAGCCGGGGAAGCCGCACCTCATTGCACATCTCCTGGGACATCACACCAGGCAGGACAGCGAGGCAGCCTAGGAGACTGTGGGTGTGGGAGGGGGTTTGGAACAGCTCTGTGGGGACAGGAGAGGCCCGAGGAGAGATGAGTGCCATGCTGAGGGCCCTGGAGGTTGGGGGCTGCCCCTGGCGGTGGCCCCAGTCTCGGTGGGCACGCTCATGCCCGTGTGCCCTTGAGTCTCTGTCTAGCTCCCACTCTGGGCTGGGTGCTGCTTCCGCTGCTGTGCAGAAAGTCCTCTGTCCCCAGGCCCCTGGGTCACGCCAGAGCCCCCTGCCAGCCCCCCACTGGACAGGGCCACCTGAGCCAGAGATTCACGTTGAGCCAGGCGCTGGCTGGACAGGTTCTGCCCCCACGGAACTGGCAGTCTAGCGAGGTGGGCAGACAGCAGAGCCACTAAGGAGCCTTGGAGGGAGAAGAGGTGCTGAGGGGCCTGAGGAAGGCGGTGGGTGCAGTGGGCATAACCATGAGGGCACTGCTGACCTCGGGCCAGTCCCTGGCCTCCCTGCCAGAGCGTGAAGAGCAGAGCGCACTTCACGGAGAAGACAGAGTCATTGGTTAATGTCTGCAAAGCATCAACGCTCCTGCTGCACATGGAAGACTCTAGATGAGCCTTTCTTTGAAGGCCTAAGACAGTGTCTGGGGACCACTGCAGAGTGGATCGTAGCTCTCCCATGCACCCCAAATCCAGTATCTCTAGAAGCTCATCCTAGGCTCCTCTTTCGGAACGGGACCGCCCCCTGCCCCTGCCAGGTTCTGGGGTAGCCCTGGCTTTAATGCACTTCACTCCACCCTCCAGCACCTTGCCTGGCGCCCGCGGGCAGGTGTAGAATGAGTAGAGCGTAGACCAAGCAGGGGACTGAGAGGAGGGGCCTGAGAGGGGGCCGGCTGACACCCCACCCGTCTGTTCTCACAGTGCTGTGTTCTTCGCCACCTACCTGACCCTGGCCTGCTGTTCTGGACCCAGGTATGCTGGTCAAGGGTGGGAACGTGAGCAGGACCTTGGACGGCTGGCCCCGGTCTTGCCTGCCACACCAGTGCTGTGCACCCCCATGCCGCCTGGGCTCCATCAGCAGGCCTGCCCCCCCTTTTATTTGGCGCCTGTGAGGTGCAGGGATGGCGGACAGACAGACGGGTACCTGGGGCTGACTGAAAGAAGAGGCCCCATGGCGTGGGGTTAGGGAGGGCAGGGACGCCCTCCCCGCAGAGGGACCCCAGCCTAATCTGCGGCACCCCCACGCTCCTCTGAACCCGTGCTTTTGCCTTACAGGAGGCATTTCCCCTGGAACCTGATTCTCCTGACCATCTTTGTAAGTGATCTGGGGGTGTCTGAGTGAGGATGGAGGGCGGCGGGGAGGAGGGTGGGCCCACTGGGGTGGCGGGGACGCTTTGACCCCCCACAAACACGTTCCACCTCCCCCACAAGGGACCGAGTCTCCTGTCGCTTCACCCACTGTCCCTTTCATTGTGACCTTGTTTTTAAGAGATTTGTAGGCGGATAGTGAAGGGGGCAGGGGAGCTTAGAAACAAAAGGATGCTCCTCGGCCCCTCCGCGCGCAGGGCCTGGCTGGTGGGAATTGTGTGAGCAGAGCTGACTCAGAGTTCGGGGAGTATGTGCAAGGGCTGGACCTTAAAGGTATCTGGAGTCCCCAAAGTCTGAGTTCTGGGGTGTAATCCCTCCTCCTGCCTCTTCTTTCAGACCCTGTCCATGGCCTACCTCACTGGGATGTTGTCCAGGTAAAGGGGACTGGCCACACCCTGCAGGCAGCTGCCCCTGAACACCACCTCTGGGAAGCATTGGGCAGCCGAGGGGCTCAGGCAGGCAGGGGGCACCGTGGGGACACTGTGGGGTGCCGACTGGAGGATCTGTGGGGCGGAGAACCAGGCGCCCCCTCAGGCCGCAGCTGGCAAGTGCCCCGACTGCTCACATAGCACAGAAGACCCCCCCAGGCACCAACACACGGCGCCTGCCCCCAACCGTCACCTCAAGATCCTTCTAACAGGATCTGAAGCCTGAGCAGGTCGGAGCGGGCAGGGCCCAGCAGAAAAACTGGGGAAGCAGGAAGAGGGAAGATCCTGGGAAGGGGGCTTGGGGTGGGGGGGCCAGGTCAGAGGCCAGGTCTGGCGGGCGGGGGAAGAAGTGGGGGCACGGTGTGCAGCCCCGAGCTGACCCTCCCCCGTGGCCGCAGCTACTACAACACCACGTCCGTGCTGCTGTGCCTGGGCATCACGGCGCTCGTCTGCCTGTCCGTCACGCTCTTCAGCTTCCAGACCAAGGTCAGCTCTGGGGCCTCCGCCAGGCGGGCACAGATGAAATGGGAGGCTCCAAGCTGGGCTGGAGAGAGGGAAGGAGGTGGGGGGGGCGTCTAGGGGGCCACCTGGGACAGGGGAGAGCGAGGAACGCAGGACTGGGGTGAGCATGAGGCAGGACCATGCTGGCTGTGGCCAGCACGCTGCCTGGTCAGGCCTCCAGGAGGGACAGGAGGGGCCTTCTGTGGGCCTGCGGGCCAGCAGCTCACCAGCCTGTGCCCGCAGTTCGACTTCACCTCCTGCCAAGGTGTGCTCTTCGTGCTCCTCATGACCCTTTTCTTCAGCGGACTCATCCTGGCCGTCCTCCTGCCTTTCCAATACGTGAGTCTCTGGTCTCCCGCTGGCCTGGGAGCGCGGGGGAGGGGCAGCTGCCCGCTGGGTGCTGTTTCTGCCACACCCTCCAGGGAAGGCCCAGAGCCAAAGGCTCCGGCCTGCCATCCTGTCCAGCCCCTGGCACCTGCCCTGCAGTCGCTGGCAGCATGAGCAAACAAACAAGGAGGCTTTCTTTGGCAGGCCGGCCCCCACACATCCGGCTTCGAGCCCAGGGGGGCATTTAAACCCCAGGCAGAGCAGGGAGCTCTGGTGCTCCGCAGGGCCTGAAGAAGGGCCGCCCCAGGCCCTGGGGGGCAGCTAGGAGGCTGGCTGGCCCAGCGGGCCGTGGAGGGGCAGTGGGCTCTGGGCACACCTGGTCAGTGTCCACAGGGCTGGCCGAATCCCAGTCCAGCCTGGCAGCCCAGGTAGGACGCTCAGGGCTGGGCCCACTGCAGACACCCAGGTGCTGCGCTGGGAGGGGCAGACAGAGGGCATCGCCGTAGGGCCCTGAGGGGGGAGTCAGAACCCAGGAGAGGCCGCCTTGGCCCTGCTGAGGGCTGGGTGCTTACATCTGAGCCGGGCTCCTCTCAGCCACCGTGGCCTATGGCCCCCCACCCCTTTCCTGCCGGGCTGGGAGCAGCTCTCACCTCGCCCCACGCACCCTGCCCAGGCCTGGCTACTGGCTCCGGGGCCAGGCCCGCAGAGCTGTATGTAGCATTTCCTTGGCTCTTCCTGGGATCCTGTTGACAAAGGGAGTGGCCGGAGCTGGGCTGGGGGTGCTGTGTGTATCTAGGTGGGGGCAGGAGGAGCCCAGACATCAAAGAACCCTTTATTCACTAACTGTGTCAGGCGGACGGAATGCCCATGTTTCCAGGAATCTTCTGGGGAAAGGCCCTGCGGAGGACACAGTTAGTGTGCATTCCTTATGGGGGTTCCCATGGAGCTGGGGGGCCCAGAGAGGGGCTGAACCCAGGAAGGGGCACTGTTCTAGCCCTGCAGGCAACCCCAGCATGCACAGCTGACAGACTCCGGATGGCTCCCACCTTCCCTCTGTCCCTGGCTATGTGCACCCATCACCTACACAGCCAGAGCCCAGGAACTCCCAGGCACAGGACAGGACCCCCCCCAGAATGCAGGAATGCGTCCCTCTGCACTACTTGCACCCCAGAAGTGGGGAGCAGCCTCAGTCCAGACCCAGGCTGGGAAGATAAAGGGCCCCCCCCCAAGGGATGTGTTACCTCATCCAGCCTGAGTCTGGGGCAGAGTGAAGGGAAGATGGGCCATTAGTTGGCGTTCCTCTGCCAGACCCCCACGATCAGGGTCATCTTGAGGTTTGCCCAGCCACCCTGAGCATTCAAAAAAATCAAGACCCTTCAGACCTGGGGTTTTTGGGGACAGCTGGGGAGGGCTGGGCAGCGAGAGAACGTCCCCACCGGGGGGTCCAGCCCACTTGGACAGAGCCCTACCCCCTGCCAGCACCCCTCAGCCTCCTGCCTAACCCCGCTTTGCCTCTGCCCACAGGTCCCCTGGCTGCACGCAGTGTATGCTGTGCTGGGAGCAGGCGTGTTTACACTGGTGAGTGTGACCCCTGGACAGGTGGGCTGGGCGGCCTCTGAACCTGCTTGGTAGTCTCCGCGCCACCCTACACAGTTACAGAGCACTTTCACACCTGTCACCCCGATCCAGGGAGGGAGGCATCAGCGGTTTCTCCACACCTGAAGCCCTAGGTGTTCGGGCACGACCCGCTGCTGGCTAGGAAGGGACTCAGTGTCCTGTGTCCAGGGTCCTCATCATAAAGGGTGGTAATCCAAGTCTGGGGACACTCTGAGGTCCCCTAAGGAGTGAGCTAAGAAAGGAGTGTTAGGGCCCCCCAGCGTGGCTGGGGAGGGGCAAGAAAACCAGGAGGCTGGTGTCCGAGATGCCAACACCGTAGTGTGCTTCTGCAGGGGAGGAGGGAGCGGTCGTGTCAAATGCCGGTAAGGGGCGCTTGTGAGGACTTGGACTGACCGCTGGATTTAGGAGTTCTTCCCAGCGCCCCGTGCTCCCCGCTGAGGCTGCTTCTAGTGGCTTGACATGGGGAGGGCTGGGGGGGCCTCCCCTTCTCCAGCTGTGCTTCTCGACCACCACCACCAGCACCGTGGGCATGGCTCTCCTGGGGGGGTTATTCTTTTTTTTTTTAACAGAACTGGGGTACAGGCCAGAGGCTCAGGGGCGGTGAGAGGCTTCACCAGAGACAGAGTGGGGAGCAGAACAGGCAGATCGACGAAGCACACTGCTGAGGGGAGCAGCGGGTGGGTCAGGAGAGGTCTGCCACGCCCTGTGGTCACCTCCAGGGCAGGCGGGAATCGAACTCATGCGGAAGTGGCCTTAGCTTCTCAGTGCTGTGCTCTAACCCGCTGCGCCACCAGGGAGGGCCCTGGGGGGTTATTCTTACCAACGTGGGAATGTCGAAAAAAGAAAAACAAAGCGCTTGGTCCCTTTCCCGTTTATCTCCGCCCTGTGGAGGGAAACTTCCAGCAAAGGAGTCCACACTGTCTCCCTTCCTCTCCTCCTGCCGCCTGCCCAGTCCAGCTCCCATTCTCTCTCTCTCGTTTTAAAAATCTTCACTGAAGTGACTTCGGCTCGTAGCACCAGGCAGGCTCAGGCGCACAGCGTCGTGACTCAACATCTACCAGGGTCTGCTCAGATCTCACCACAGGGGCAGTAGAGACTGTCCCCCGACAGTTTCCACTCCTCCCTGCCTGGTCCCCGCTGGTAACCGCCAGCCTGGTCTGATCAGTGAAGAGTTTGCTTTTGTTTCTTTGTCTTTCACACAGGGTGAAATCACACTGCAGCTATCTTTCTCCTGCTGGGTTGTGTCACTTAGCGTCATACCCAGCAGAGCCATCCATGTGGCCAGAGGCCATCGCTATGACCCTCAGGTGGTCTGTACATCTTGGCTGTTGTAAATGGTGCTGCAATGAATCCGGGGGTGCAGGTCTCTTCTAGGGTAGGGTTTCATGTTCTTCAGAGACTTACACAGGTAGCTGGGTCATTGCCTCAGGGAATTTTTTGAGGAGCCTTCACTCTCCTGCCAGCAGGGCACAGGGGACCCTTCTTCACATCCTCACTGACACCTGTTTGTTGTGGTGGTGATGGTCATTCTACAGGTGTGCCGTGATGTTTCATTGTGGTCTGATTCCAATTTCCCTAACAGTAATTGAAGCTGGCATCTTCGTTGGCCTGTTGTGTCTTTTTTTTTTTTTTTTTTTGAGAAACATCTATTCAGATCCTCTGCCCATTTTTTAATAGGGTTGTTTGTTTTTTGTTGTCTAGCGATAGTCACAAATCATACATCTGACAAGAAGTCAATAACCTGCTGCCCCTTAACCCTCTGTAACAAGCTCTCGCCAAAGCCATCAGTGGCCTCCATGATGCTAAATCCAGTGGTCACTTCCAAGCTCGTATAGCTCCCTCTTCCCCTGCAGGCGCATCTCGGACACCAGCCTCCTGGTTTCCCTGTCCCTCCCACTCACGCTGGGGGGCCCTAGCACCCCTTTCTTAGCCCACTCCCTGGGGGACCTCAGAGTGTCCCCAGACTTTGATTACCATCCCTTATGACGAGGACCCTGGAATTTACATCTCTTCCCTGGAACTCCAGTATCCCCATTTGGAAGTCTGATAGGCACCCCAAACTTAACAGGTATAAAACTGAGGTCTTGCCCTTTCTCTGAAACCCTTCTCCTCCCTTACCTGCCCCCCTCTATGGGTGGGGATGTCCTCGCCTCCTTGGCTCCTCACGCCCCACAGCGGGCCCAGCCCCAGACCCAGCTGACTCCACCTTCCACCTGGAATCTGACCACTTCTTCCACCGTCATGGCTCCTCCCTGGTCCCTGTCACCATCGCCTCCCACCAGGATCCTGGCAGTCACCTCCTAGGGGTTCGCCTCCTCTGCCTCCAGCTTTAATTTTTTTCATAGCACTTCTCATCCTCTGGCACATTCTGTAGCTTTCTGGTAGTTCATCGCTTCGCTCCCTCCCGCAGAATTAAGGAGGCAGGGACTTTGCCTGGCTTGCTCATCACTGCCTCGCCACACAGCGCCATGCCTGGGGCACGCCAGCACCCCTAGGTGTCTGTAGAATAAGTGGACACCCAAGTGGCAGGCCAGGTCTTGCTGAGGGACTGTCAGAGCAAGGCAAACAAAGCTGCTGCACAGTTGACTTACAGCCGCCTCGGCCCTCTGAGTCATGGGGAGGAGGAACCTGGAGCCTAATTACCCGCTAATGTCTCATTAGCAACGAGCACAAGGCCTTGGTTGGGGTCATCGAAGGTTGTGAGGTTGCGTAAACAAAGGGAACCCTGGTGTCCACCCCCAGCCCCAGCCCCTCCCTGTTTCGCCAGGACTCAAGAAGGAAAAAGGGCCCCGGGCCCCCCGGGGGGGGGGAAGCATGGAGGAGGGACCTGGCTCCGTCCCCTCCCCTCAGTTTCAGGACGACAGAGGAAAAGTTCCCAGAGTCTTTCCCTTAACCCCAACTCAGAAGTCCCTGAGCTCAGTGTGACCCTGTTTCAGCATCATCAGTTCCGTCCTGTGGACACTGTGGGTCCCCCAACCTGCCCCAGCACCCCTGCCCACCTGCCCTTCTGGCATCTCCTGTCCTGTCCTGGGGAATCCTGGGGCCTCCCACTGCTGCCTCAGATGAGAACTACAAGCTGCACTCAGTGCACCCCACCTGCTGCTCCCCAAGGAGGACATGGGAGGGAGGAGAGGAGCGTCCTGAGGTCCCGGAACCGTGACAGCCACACGCCAGCCCCCAAGCCTGGGCCTGGCAAGGGCCTGTCTAGAGGCCTCAGGCCCTCCCTGACGGACATCCCATCCTTCCGGCAGGGCCGGGGAGCCAGGCGTTTTAGGCCTGCCGTCCAGCCTTGAGGAACAGGCCCCTGCTGGGCCTCACCCCAGCTAGGCGATTCTCAAGAGTCCTTTGGGTTTCTGCCTCACCCTTCCCCATTCCCCCCGCAACTGGGCACCAGACCCAAATGCCAATGGAAGTGAGTAAGTTAGGGTGTAGCCCCATCCTCTCCCCTCTAGTGCCCTCTCCTTAAGTGCTTTGTTAATAGATGCTCATGAAAAGACAGGTGGGAGCATGAGGCTGGAAGGGGGTGGGGTGATACCGGGGGTGGGGGGGCAGGAAGAGAGGGCTGGAGGAGGTCCTGGCCAGCCAGTCCCCATCTGCCCAGCTTTGAGCAGTTTGTTCTAAGCCAGGGCAAGCCGCCCGCCGTCTAAATCGGGAGCCCAGAGACAGAGGGGAGAACCAAGTCAGGACTTCAGAAAGTCGGTGGTGGGCCCCCGCCGCCCTGCCCAGCCTGGCAGTGTGAAGACCCCAGGAAACAGCGCAGGCACACCAAGGAAGAGTAGTGACAGGCCAGGGAGTGGGCCAGAGGTGGGGGGAGGCCCCGCCCGGCCCTGTGGCCGGGAAGTGCAGGTAGTGGCAGGGAGAATGTGAGCGACTTAGGGCTGTTTCCCTGCCCTGAAGCCAGGGTGGGGTGCAGGGGAGACTGGCCATCTGTCCTTGGTCCTGGAAGGAGAGGAAGACCAACACTGTCTTTGGAGCCGGAAGGGACTTCCTTGACCTGAGGCCCAGAGAAAGCACAGACGCACCAGCACCACCCCACACACCACACGTATACGACACACAGCCCACACGTACACACATACCACAGAGACCCCCACGTACACACAGCCACACAGACCCACACGTACACACAGCCACACACCCCACACACAGCCACACCCCGACACACACCCCACACGTACACACAGCCACACACACCCTACACGTACACACAGCCACACACACCCACACACAGACCGCACATGTACCATGCTCCAACATACATGCAGGTGGTATTGGCCACCAAGCTGGACGGAAGCTCCATTTTCCTGGCTCTTGGCCCAGCATCCCGGCTACCTCTCCCCTCACGAATGGGCTAGTGGGGGCCCAGAAAGGGCCCCAGATTGAGTCCCTCTGCAGCAGGAACACCCAAACAGAACTTATTCTGCCATACTGAGACTCGACAGTTAGTTCCATCCAGCACCAACAGGGAATTTGTGTCCCCTGAGTGTGACCGGCCAAACCCACGGCATCTGGGGGGCTTGGGGAGCTCTGTGTGCCCCACAAGCCCTCACCAGCCGTTCTAAGGGGCAGTGATCATTGCCCAACCTTCTTCAGGGTTACAGAGTTATCTAATCGATCATGTTACGTTTTATGTAAACAAGGTTACATAAAACGAAGGCAATTTGGTTTAAAATCTATCTTTATTTCATTTAGTGCTGAGAGCTCTCTTTGTCTCAGTGTTGCACGTGAGCCTGGAAGCTCAAGTGCAAAGCTTCTGCTCCCAGCCCACCTTCTGCCACCAAAAGGCCCTAAAACCTCGCTGAGTTCTCGCCTGAACCCCTGGAAGCTGAGTGGAGTCCTCTGAGGGTGTGGGGGTGAGGGAGGGTGTTGAGCAGCACTTGCTCCTTGGGGGGACTGCTCTGTGTCCCCCTCCCAGGCCTCGGCTTCACTTCCTGGGCGCTAATCCACAGGCCAACGCCCTC